AGCAGTCAAGTGCTTTAGGCACTATGCTACCAGAGCTCCTAAGGTGCCTCTGGGTGGATGCAAACCTTCAACCTTTCAATTAGCAGCTGAGAGCCTCACCTGTTCGCACCCCCGGTGTCTGCTTATCCGCTGCTGCCACCCTCTTTATCTCCTGATGCAATCTGATGACTGTTTTTTTGTTTACTCTTTTATTGTTTGTCTTTTCCACCAGAATGTATGCTCCACAAGGAGACACTCGTTTGCTCCTGTGTTCCCAGCACCATGTGTCTGACATATAGAAGATGTGAAGCAAATTTTAGCTGGTGGGCTGACCGAATCAATGAATAGGAAGCAGTGGCCGTCACTGTACCCCTGGACCTTCCTTCCCTGTGCCATGCAGAGATGAGTACAGGTTGCTTTCCTGGCTGCCTGGAGACTATCAGAGCAGATAGTTTGCTAAGCTAAAGAGTCTCTAACTGGGAGATTGTCCAGGAAGCCACAGAAGCTTTTATAAATGATGGCCAAGACTATTTCACAAAAAAAGCTTAAAGGCAGGGTGGTCCAACGTGATGGCCCCTGGGAGCTGACCTCTCTCTCAGAGGCCCTGGGAGAGGGGCCCTGGCTGTTGTATAGGAGTTCTATGCTCCTTGGTGGCACAGCCATCACACCAGGCCTGCCCACAGAGTTCCAGATGAAGGGCTGGGGTGCGGGCCTGGTCTCAGGGCCCAGAAATGCATGCTCTGCCGGTAGTATGACCGCCCGGTGCTTACTTTGACTGTCCTCGGGTCCCGAGTCTTCTGGTTGTTAACTGAGGAAACTGCTGCCGTATGATCTGTAAGTTAATACAAAAATCAGTTACCCAGAAGGAACAGTTGGCAGCACAGTCACTGACTTTCACAGACGGCAACAGTTAAAGGAGGGAGGAGAACGTAGGCCCTCGATCGCAGCGGCTTGTTAGGAGGCCATCTGGACCCTGGAAGAGACACAACTGGTGATGGGGATTGGGTGCCTGGATGATTGTGGGGCTCTAAGTCCTGAGGGTCTCCCTTGGCTGCTCTGTGCTTTGCCCCCACCTACCCACAGCCTCGTTGCACCAGGGAGATACCAGCTGACCCAGGACAGTCCTCTCGTGAAAACCCTCCAAAGGCTTCCTCTGACTTGGAACCAAAGCCCGTTCTTAGCTTCTCTAGCCCGGTCTGTGCTTAAAATCTCCTGCCCTTCTTCCTCCCCCATGACTCTCATACTACCTGATCCCAGCCACAATGGCTTTTTTTTTTTTTTTTCTATTCCTGAAACACACCAGACCTGCTCCTCACTCAAGGCCTCTGCGCTGCAATTCCCACTGTCTGGAATCCCATTTAATCCAAATCTTCACAAGACTGGCTCCTCTTGAACATGTTGGGGCCTCTAGTCAGCGTCCCTCTGCCCAGAGGGCTTCTATGAGCTGCCAGTCCAGAGTAGCACAAGCAATCACTCGCCATCACCTGGCCCTGCTTCATGCGCTCTCGGCATTATCAGAAATGATGGCTTTGGCTTCCAAGCAGCTTACCGTGTGGCTCCTCCCACTTGAATGTAAGCTCCTAAGAGCAGGGACCTAGCCCAGGGCTTGGCACATGCTGAGAGCTCAATCCATATTTGCTGAGTGGAGGGCTGAAGCCTGATTCCGGTCCCTAGACAGTATCCTTTACGTATCTACAGAGCAGTGATGGTAACTGCTGTTACCCAGGACAGTAACACAGATTTGCAAGAACATAGAGAGATGTCTTCCAATGTGAAAACAAAATATAGGGATAATGTTTGTGGAGAGGCAGTGTGCCCTTAGGGGTATGCACAAGGACTTTGGAACTGGAGTACCTGGATTAGAGCCAGGCTCAGCCATTAGTTTGGTGGGTATCCTGGGCAAGTTATTTAACCTTTAAGTGACCCAGTTTTCTCATTTATAATGTGGGAACGATAGCAGAGCCTGACTTAGAGAATTCTTGTGAAAATGCATTAAAGTTAATGCCTGTGAACAATTTACAGCAGCGTCTGGGCCTTAGTAAGTACTCAGTAAATTTTGTCACTATCACCACTGACTGTCCTGCTGACTCATCCTTTTACTTCCGGGGGGGCTTTTCTCTTCCGTCCAACCAAACTCCTCCCAAACCACTCCCCTTCTAGTACAGCATGGCACAGGCAAGCCTAATCAGAGGGCGCTCCCGCATGCAGTCCTTCATGAAGAGAGATGTTGTGGCTGATTTCTAACTGGTAGAGTCTGAACCTTGAGTGTTTTCTCTAGAGGTGGCGTTTCTGTTGACCTCTCTAGAGGTTTCTCTTGATCTGTCCACACCAATACTCTCAATGGTTGATTTACTCATTCATTCAAAAAACATATACTGTGACCCTGTTAGTTGCTTGAACTTGGATTAATTTTCAGTTAACCTCTCCATGCCTCGTTTCTTCATCTGAAGTCTGGAGACTCAGTTATGCAGTCATCTGAAGAATAGGTGATGGTGGCCTCAGCTAAATTGGCACCAGTGGGATGGAAACAAGTAGATAAATCAGAAGTTAAGAAGCTGGGATGCACTTAGGAAGATGACCATCTCCAGTACGGGGAATGGAGGGAGGGAGCATCATTTCCTCATCTGAAAATGGGTGAAACCCTAACTCCAGTAAGATGGTCTCTAGGTCCCTCAGAACCTGTGCTTCTCACTTTATCTATGTCCCTTTCAAATCATGTCCCAAATAAAATGTAATATTCAAGATAGGATCTGACCGAGGGGCTGGGGACAGTGCCCTGTAACACTTTGCCCTGTTATTCAGCCTAAACCACATCATGTTTTAGTGGCCTCATCCTCCTGGGTTTGTATTAACCTATCACCAAGTTCACCCCCCAGACTTTCATTACGTGACTGGTTTCCGAGCCAGGATTTGAGACACCTGTTCACAAAAGTACAACTACTGACAGGGTACAGATACACTGATAGAGACAGAGGGAGAATAAGGGTAGTGGGCAAATGGAGCCAGGAGATTCTGCACAGTGGTTAAAAGTGGATTACAGTTTGGGTTCTAAGCTTCCTACATCCAAGCAAAGAAGATAATATAACAGGTTACAAGAGTCCCAATATCTATAAGATGAAAGCATATGACTTTATGAAAAGCAGAGATTCACCTGACATTTAGACCTGGAAAAAGTTTCTCCTATGTAATAGGGCACAAGATAAGGTACCATATTTAATCCTTTGATATTAGCAGACATTTTTATTCAGTCCTGTTAAGGATGTGGTGAAACTAGAATATTCAAAGCTTGATAATGACATTGTTTATTAGTATTACTCTTCCCCCAAACATTTTGACAATATATTTCAAGAGCCACAAAATGTTCGTAATTTTTGATATATTAATTCCAAGAACTCAAAAACAGCTGTCAAGTTGGATCTGACTCATAGTGACCCCTCCTTGGGTTTCTGAGGCAGTATCGTTACGGAAGTAGACTGCCCAATCTTCCTTCTGAGGAGTGGCTGGTGGGTTTGAACCACCAGCCTTCTGGTTAGCAGTCAAATGCCTTAGGCAAAAAGAATGTGCAGGGCTTCTAATGAGAGTGAAAATTGGAAACAACACAAATGATAGGGAACAGGGCAAATAAGTGACAGCACATACACTCTATAATACGTAAGCAGCCATCAAAAGTGAGAGTTACAAAAACTATGTCACAACACAGAGAATGCTTATGATGATATTAAATGAAAGAGCAGATCTAAAAACTGCATTTATGCTATGGTTATCATGTCTGTGTAAGTGTAGGAACAGCAAGGGAGACTGGGAAAACAGATATGTGTTAGGGTGGTAGGATTGTGAGTAGAACAAAAAAATTTTGTACTAAATCAATACTCTTTTTTTTTTTGTGTGTGTGTGTCATCTTTTCTTTTTTTTTTTTTTTTTTTATTAGG